CAGACCTGGCATGAGGAAGGCGCCCAGCCAGTGCTGCTGAACCAGTGAGGTGTGGGGCAGGGGCAGGGGCGGGCTGTGGTGGGATGGAAGAGATGCGACATTACTCACTGACACTTCCCAAGCTCAGAGCTCACGGTCTGTTTCGATGCGACAGCCGGCCTGTTCTCTTGTGTGGGCCACCCCAGTTCCCTGTGTGCTCAGGTGGCTCACGTGGTTCTCGCACGGGCGTGCAGGAACACACCCTGGATTAGCCTGAAGCAGGAGCTGGCTCTGGGAGCTGTCCAGAGGTGGGTAGTTAATGATGCCGTGGAGGGAGGGCCTTTCCCAACCAATAGATAGAATCTGGTTAATTAAGAGCAATGCTTTGTGCTTCAAAGGCACAAATTCAGACCCATCCATTAGCCTCTTCGGTGAAGATCACGTTTAAGTCAAAGCTGCCAAGCTGAGGCTGTAGGAAGCATCTATTATTAACAGACAGAGAGAGAGAAGTGGGCTCCTAAGTGAGAGGCTCACCAATCACCACACGCTTGGAGATAGGTTTGGGAGCTGATCAGAGATGTCAGCTGGGTGATAAATAAAGTTCATAGCAGCTTTCTGTGCACAACATGCATTATTGATGCTGTGCTCAGGGGCTGTGTGTGTGTGTGTGTGTGTGTGTGTGTGTGTGTGTGTGTACCTTGCCCACGCATGTGCATATATACCCTCCGGCGGTCCCAGGATACCTGTGGACAGGAGAGCGGGCCAGGAGAGGATGATATAAACATGACAGAGCTGTCGCACTGGCCCAGCCCTGACTGAGCAGCTGGGGAGACCTCAGGGACCAGGTCAGTGAGCAGATTATGAGGAAGGCATGTACCAGCCCCCACCAGGGACCCAGAAAATGGAGCAGATGTGCCCACTGCCCATGGATCTATTTGGTCTGACCAGGGAGATAGACACAAATACTGAATGATTTCAGAGCAAAGGACCCATGGTCAACTCCATTTGTGGAATGCTGCCTACCATGTGCATGGGCTCCAGGCTGGACAAAGGGATGGAAGATGGGCTCCCTGCCCTCTTGGGGTCTGGTTTCGGAAGGGAGACAAAGACCTAAATACACTTCAAGGCAATAGGTCAGAAGAGAGAAAACAGATGGGCTCGTGCCCCAAGAGTCTATGATTCCGAGAGCTCAGTATAGAACAGGCGCTAGAGTCAGAGGCTGCAGCAGCTGAAAGGAGATGGGGTTAAGAAGACTGGAGAAGGCTCTGGGGACCTTAGCTAAGGCATGACGGGAGGGCAGGCTTGTAGGGACAAAGGGAGGGGCCGTGACAGGGTCATTATCAGACCAAAGGGTCATCATTGGTTAAAGGGGTGATGGTTGAGAGACCAGGCATGTTGGAGGAGCCCATGTCAGAGAGATGTAAGGCCAGGTGCCAGCTAAAAGCCTCGAGCCAACATCAGGGAAACAGCTCTCTAAGTAGCCAGGGCAGCCAACAGGCTCTCTCTGTGACAGTCCTGCTTGCTGGAAATTAACAAAGAATAAAAAGCATGCATCTTGCAGGTTTGGCTCTGGGGCTGGTGGAGGAACTGTTAATTCTTGCAGAGTCCAAATTCCTGCACCACCTCCTAGTTCCGAGGGGGTGGGGGCCATAATTAGACTGGCTCTGGCTGTGTGCCCACCTCTGACCACCTTTCCAGGGTGATCCTTGGACCAGAAGCAGCGGCAGGTTACATAATTGAGCTGCAAAGAGGCCTGGCCAGAACGCCCTCATTAGAAAAGGCTGTAGCAGCATAAAGCCTTGTGAGATGAATGAGGGGGGTGGGCAGGGAAGGAGGGGAACAGTTGAGGTGGGGGCTGAGGGAGGGAACAGCATCACAGCTCCCAAGAGGAGATGCCCTGTCTCCTGAGGGAATGGCAAGGCCTCCTTGGAGGGACAATTCTCAGCACACAATTAGCTGTCGAAGTCTGCAAACCCACCACGGTCAGTTTTCAAATTTTGGTGTGATGGGCTCTCGGATGCAGCAGCCTTGCCTGGAGAGACCTCCCCTGGAAGGCTGTAACTGCGGGCAGTCACCTCCAGTTATGCTTACATTTTTTCCAGCCAGAGGAGGACAAAAACATGCATAATTATCTAACCAGACGAGGTCCCTTTGCTTTTCCCAATAATTAACCCGGGTTGTTAAGTAGCTGGTAGAAGCACAGGTCCTTTTAAAAGGGAAAAACTCAGAAAAGGCCTTGGGCTCAGGGTGGCCACTTGGTGTTTTTGTCTTTAAAATTTCAAACGGTGACCCTGAGTGTGAACTGCAAAGTGTAATATTTTTGCTTGGTATGTACAACTTCTACTTAAACAAGATATATGTTACTGAGTTTGAATAATATTTTGAAAATGGAAGCTTATTCTTCTTATATTGTTACTAGAGGCTTGGTGCACAAAATTCATGAATGGGTAGGGTCCCTAGGCCTGGCCAGCGATCAGGGCTGATCAGGGCCTTCCTTCATTCCGTGCCGCCCCCTTGTGGTTAGTGCACGTCATAGCAAGCGGTCCAACTCCCGGTCGGTCAAACTCCCGAGGGGACAATTTGCATATTAGCCTTTTATTATATAGGATAGTGTTTAAAACAAAAGAATTAAGCAAGAAAATAAAGCAGTACGTCAGTGGTATAATTTAGTAGTTGCTAAATTATAGGCAACCTTTGCAGGTGTCTCACTTTTATTAAAGTTCACCTATTAGTGACTGAGCAATGATTTACATAAAATATTATATCAGGCTGCAACCAATGGATCAAAACTCAGTAGATGTAAAAATTATTTAGTAGGTAGTTGTGCTTTTTTTTCTTTTTCGTACTAAAATATTTACTTTTATTTAAAAAATATTATGGTGTAATTATATGTCTAGAGTTTAAGAAACATTTTATTATCCGTGTTTCTTGTCCGCCCATTATTATGACCATTTCATTTCATGATTATTTCTGAAAATAATTTTGTCACATAAGAAGGGGACTGTTAAGTGACTGGTGTTAAATGGCTTGGTGCCACTGTCCCGTAAAGTGGCATGCGAGCCAACCCCTTCAATGATCAATTAGCTTCAATCATCCACAAAACTGTAAAAGAATGAGATGAATTTTTCCCCAGACTAGCAATGTCCCTGTTGATGCCCAGTGATCCTTTCCCCGTCTACCACCTCACACAGCAGCCACCATGACAATGCACTTTAGAATATAAAGCTCAGTGATGTGAAGGTTCATGATGACTTCTCAGGGCCACGGATGAGAAATCCTTGCAGGACTGGCAGGGGGTGGCGCTCCTGGCAGGATCTGGCCCCTGCCCATTGTGGAAACCAGAGGCCAGCCCTCACAGCAGCCAGAGTGTGTGGTCCCTGCAGCCTTGACCTACTTCCCAGTCCTCTGGTCGGGGATCTGGGCAACCGTGACAAAGCAAAATTAAACAAATTTGGAATGAGCCTGTGCTAGAAAATCCGAACAGTATTCACCCTTTTCTATGGACGGAGGAACAGTTTAATCGCAGAAATTTAAAAATTAACCATGGATAGGAGAAAGAACCCAGGCTTTGGAGTTGAAATCTGCGTTCAGATTCTGATTCTGCAATTTTACCGACTGTGTGGTCTTGGGCAAGTCACTTAAACACCCTGAGACTCAGTTTCCTTGCCCTTGTGAATACACCTAGTGAGGGACACAGTCGACAATCAAGTGAGACAAGTGTCACAAGGAGAGGACAGTGGATCATAGGAGTGTGAGACGGGGACTTATATAGTCTGGGGGTTGGAGAAAACTTCCCTGAGGAAGGGATGCTTGAAGGATGAATAAAGTTAGCAATGTGAAAGGGAGGGGGTAGTAAAGAACATTCCACACAGAGGGGGCAGCATATACAAAGGCCCCAAGCCAGAGAGCTTTCAAGGAACTCTAAAATGACCCTTAAGGTGAGAAGATTAGAGAAGCTGTGGTGCCAGATGTGTGAAGCCACTGGCACTTCAGACTTGTTTGTTACTGCAGCATAAAGCTGACCTTGCTGACTAATACAAGTGGTTATAGTAGAAAGATAGGGAGCTGAGTCCAGCCTGAATTCAGCTGAGGAGGGTGGGCTTGTTGGGAGAAAATAGAGGTTGCAAAAGTGTTGACGACACTTTAATACACATCAGGCCTGGCCAGCTTGGCTTGAGCATCAACCTCTGAACCAGGAGGTCACGGTTCGATTCCTGGTCTGGGCATATGCCCGGTTGTGTGCTCCATCCTCAGTGTGGGGCATGCAGGAGGCAGCCAATCAATGATTCTCTCTCATCATTGATGTTTCTATCTCTCTCTCCCTTCCTCTCTGAAATAATTAACACTATATTAAAAAAACAACAACAACACATCAGGCTGGGAAGAGGAGGAGAGAACTAAGGTGGTTGACCGGAGAGGGCATGTATTTTGCTTTAAAGAGGGGAATCATTTAAACCTCCTAAATGCTGACAGGAAGGAGTCAGGAGAGGAGAGGACAGAAACAGATGGGAAAAAGCTAAGCGAGCTTTCTGAGTGGTGGAAGAGGGGGAGGGAATGCTGGAAACATAACCAATGTGATTTGACCATTTCATTTGATTTCTGTCGTTACTGAGATTTGGGGGTTTTAGGAAGGAAGAAGCAAATGCCCACACCCCCAGAGGTCAAAGTGCTTGGCTCGGATGACCCATGTCAGCACTGTTCTGTTCTGGCCAGAGCGTGCGCTGTGCACCTCTCCTGGCAGCTCTTGGGGACCTGCTAAGGCCAGGCTCTCCCCAACCCCGTGCTCTGGATTCCTTCCCTCCACCTCAGGCTGGCTCCTTGCCAGGTGGGTCTGAGGTCCCCCTCCAGCCACTGAAGGGAGGCCTGCCAGGAAGGACCAGTGTGTGAGATCCCAAGAAATGAAGAGAAAGTGGTCCCAGGAGGGGGTCTGAGTGTGGAGGAGGAGACCTGTGCTGGCCCAGCTTTGCCATGAACTTGCTGTGTGACTCTGGGGAGGTCACTTTACCTCTCTGGGCTGTTACCTCTTTCCTCAAGTGGCTCTGGCATCTGTTCACATTAACACCTTGTGCTGGCACCTCTGTGGATTCTTCTCAGTATAACCTCAGAAAGCAGGGGAGGTGTGAGGAGAGGGGGTGGGGGGTGTCCTTCCTAGAGGAGAAAAGGCGGTTGAAGGGAAAGTGGGTGACTCATTCTAAGGATGTCACATGTTTGGGGGCTGTTCCCAACACTTATATCTTTCTCTACTGGTCCCACCTTTCTCTTCCCTCCCAGCCCCCTTGTTAGAGGGTTGCTGAGGCTGAGACTGGCCATCACAAACAAGTTGGGGTGACTCTGTAAGGAAGGCAGAAGAGGAGGTTTGGGCAGGGGTGGGACCAGGTTGGCCTCTGGGGGTTCTTCCACACCCATGGTTCTGGGAGTTCTGGGTCCTACAGACCAAGCAGAGTGGCCCTTGATGAAGGAACAGTGGAGACACTCAGGCCATGGGTCAGGAAGCCTACACTCCTGCGATGCTTGCCCCTCTGGAGGGCGCCCACAGGACAGCCCAATAACTGAAACTGAGCCAAGGCCCTTGGAGGATTGGCTGGAACCTCCTGTATCTGAAAGGGAAGACTAGAAGTGTCTTGTTGCTTCTCTGGGTGTGGGTAGCGTCCCATAGAGCAGGGTCTTGGGGCTGTGCTCTTCGTCCTTGAAGGCCTGTGGCGGATTCTGCAGGTGCTCTGGAAGGGCCTGTGGAGCAGGGTGTGGAATCTGCACCATGGAAGTTACTCCAGAAGAGACGGCTGTGGTGCCAGGTGGGAGACAGGCCCTGACCAGGCCCTGAGACCAGAAAGCGCCTCACCCCTGTCCCCACTGCGGAAGGGCCCAGATTCTGGAATGGTAGCTTCTCTGTCTTCCCCTTCCAAACAGGAAGTGCCACCCCCTGGCCTGGAGTGGCTGGAGGATGAAATGAAGTCATTTGTGTGAAGGCACTAAGAGAAAAACTACTGTCGAGGTTGTTTTTTATATAAAAGAATTGGGCATTAAAATCGTCACCTCGCCTGGCCTCAGGGAACTTGCCCACGGGGTTCTCACTTGGAATGCAGGTTATCAGGCACTCTGGGGACCAGGGTGGCTCATGGGGCTAGTCAGGGTTGTCACAACCCCAACAAGGGTCAGACACTAAATAACACAGAGCACCTGGTCAGTGTGGTTCAGTGGTTGAGCGTTGACCTATGAACCAGGAGGTCACGGTTCAACTCCCAGTCCGGGCACATGCCCAGGTTGCAGGCTCAACCCCCAGTGTGGGGTGTGCAGGAGGCAGCCAATCAATGATTCTCTTGCATCATTGATGTTTCTATCTCTCTCTCCCTCTGCCTTCCTCTCTCTAAAATCAATAAAAAAATATTTTTAAAAAATCACAGAAGCTTTTCTCCCCTTGGCCTCCTACCCCATCCCCTTCTACTTCCACGGGAGCACTCCCAAAGGTGCCCTGTACTCCATTACGTACTGTGTTTATGCTCCACACACCGTGTGTGTGAGCTCCTGTGAGTTCTATTCCTGCAGCTCACCGGGACTTTTCCTTTGTCTGAGGTGGTGAAGTGCCCAGGCTGGCCCACAAAGGCCTAGCCACAGCCCTGTGGTCCCTCTGTGAAATGAGAGGGTGAGGCCAGGTCACAGCTTCTCACTAGGGGGTGACAGGCACACCTGCGTCACCTGGGGAGCCTTTGGAAGAACCTTCTTCCAGATATTTCAATCCTTTTCAAGTGGGCTGGGGCCTGAGCATATATATGAATTTATCTTTTATTTCCCAAAGGCAATATATACACGGTAAAAAAAAAAATTAAGTAGATAATAGTATAGAATAAAAATGCTGTCTCCTGCCCCTACCCACCGAGCCCAGCTGCAGGTTATTACCCGTCTGGACCCGTGCCATCTGATTTACCAACAGTGGCCTCTCACTGGTTTTATCAGCAGTCCTTTAATTATGCGTGAGGTCAAGTGTCTTTTCATGTTTAGCCACCCCCTCCCCGCTTTCCCCTGTAAGCTACCTGTTTTTCTCTTTTCCCAGGGATAGGTATTTTGGTAAAGTATCTGGAACAATTCTGGGCTGTCTTAGGACCCCCCGCTGTCTGTTCTGGGTGACCCAAGTCCCCTTAAAGCTCTAACCCTGCACATTCGTGAGCCTCATGGAAAGTCTGAGGGTCCAGGGACTGTCCAGGTTTCATGGAGCCCCAAGTGAGAGGAACCCTCCGCAGGAAGACTGGTGTCCCGGCCTGGGCGGGACAGCCCTTTTTGCGGGGGAAAAGGGGCCATGCTTGTCTTTAACATTTGCCCCTTTGTCCCACTCATTGTAGAGTGTCATTGGATAGGAATGAGAGAGACATTTTGCATCTACTTCCTGGGAATCCAGAGCCAGCATGTCCTGCCACATCTGCCTCTCGCTCCAGTTCAGGTCTGCTGCAAAGTCCTCGAATTCAGCAACCAGGAATGACCAGGCTGCTCGGTGGCCGGCGGCGTGGGCCCCACCATCCCACAATGAAAGGGTGCGAGATTCCCAGGGGCGGCTCAGGTATCGGAAATGCACCGCAGAACCACTGGAGCTCTGTGAAGGGCAGTGCTTTATCGGGCATGGCTTGTGGCTCAGCCTAGATGTACCAGATTCATGCCTAACTCCTCCACCCTTACCCAGAGCTGGTTTCATAGGAAGTGCTCAAATGACTGTTGAAAGAATAAATCATTAACACCTGTCTAATTGCCCCCCTTTTTGTTCAGAGGGTAGTTATTAAAGTTCAAATTGGTTCAGTTGGCTGTGCTTACAAAGACTCCTAGCTTACAGAAGGCTACTTTCTGACAGCCTACACCAGCTTTCTTGCGCATTTCAAAAGCCCTTTCTTTGGCCCTGGGAATTAGGGTGGCCAGAAAAAATACAGGATGTCCAGTTAAATTTGAATTTGAGATAAACAACAAATAATTTTTTTTTTTAGTTAAGTATGTCCCAAAGATGGCATGGCTCATACTTATTGTATTAGTTTCCTGTGGCTGCTGTAATAAATTACCACAAACTGAGTGGCTTAGGACAACAGATATTTATTTTCTCATAGTTCTGGAGGCCAGAAGTCTGAAATCAGAATTACTGGGCCCAAATCAAGGTGTTGGCAGGGCTGCACACTCTCTGGAAGCTCTAGGAGAAAATCCTGTGCTTGTCTCTTCCGGCTTCTGGTGGCTGTCAGCATCTACTTCTCACCGATGTCCATCTGTCTCCGACCTCACATCATCTTCTCTGCTGTGCTTCTACTTTTACTTATTATTAGAGGCCCAGTGCACGAAATTCGTGCACTCGGGGGTGGGGGGGGCATCCCTCAGCCCAGCCTGCACCCTCTCGCAGTCCAGGAGCCTTGGGGACGCCCTTGGCTCCCCTAAGCCATCAGTCAGACATCCTTAGCACTGCCGCAGAGGAGGGAGAGGCTCCTGCCACCGCTGCTGCACTCGCCAGCAGTGAGCCCAGCTTCTGGCTGAGCTGTGCTCCCTCTGTGGGAGCATGCTGACTACCAGGGGGCAGCTCCTGTGTTGAGCATCTGCCCCCTGGTGCTCAGTGGGCATCATAGTGACCGGTTGTTCCGTTGTTCAGTTGATTTGCATATTAGCCTTTTATTATATAGGATTTCTGATGGCTCACACAATGGACATTTATTGTCTCACAGTTCTGGAGGCTAGAGTCCAAGATCAAATTGTCAGCAGGGTTGCTTTCCTCCTGAGGGCCGTGAGAGAGAAGCCGTTCCATGCCTCTTGCCTAGTTCTAGGGGTTTGCTGGCAATCTGTGGTGTCCTTGGCTTATGAAAGCATCACCCTGATCTATGCCTTTATCTTCACGTGGTGTTCTTCCTGTGTGTGTGTCCACTTCCAGATTTCCTCTTTTTATAAGGACACCTCTTCTGTGTTTTTAATCTCTCTGCCTTGCTCCCCTAAGGATACAGGTGATTGCATGTAGGATCCATCCAGATCATACAGGACAATTTCCATCTGAAGGTCCTTGATTTAATCACATTGGCAAAGATCCTTTCCCCAAATAAGGTCACGTGCACAGGTTCTGGGGTTATCTTTGATATCTGATATCTTTGGGGAACATTAGGTAGCACTAATACACTTGCACTAAAAAATATCTGTTGCTCATCTGAAATCCAAATTTAACTAGGCATCCCATGTTTTTTTGTTTGTTTGCGTGTTTGTATGTTTGTTGTTAGTCCTCACCTGAGGATATTTTTTTCATTGATTTGTTTTTAGAGACAGTGGAAGGGAGGAAGGGAGTGGGAGAGGGAAAGAGAGAGAAGCATCGATGTGAGAGAGACACCTCGATTGGCATCCTGTGTTTTAATTTGCTACATCTGACAGCCCTCCCTAGGCTGAGCTGATGAGGACATAAGTGGTTTGCCTTCAACTGCTCACCATCCTTCCTGACATGAGCGTGGGGACCAGACCACAGACCCAACCCTGCTCATCAAGGTCTTGTTCTTTTCTTTTTAAAAAATATATTTTTTATTGATTTCAGAGAGGAAGGGAGAGGGAGAGAGGGATAGAAACATCAATGGTGAGAAAGAATCATTGATCGGCTGCCTCCTGCAAGCCCCACACTGGGGATCAAGCCCGCAACCCAGGCATGTGCCCTGACTGGGAATCAAACCGCAACCTCCTGGTTCAGAGTTTGATGCTCAACCACTGAGCCACACAGGCCGGGCCAAGGTCTTTTGTCTTTGAAGGAGGGCTCATGGTATATGATGTCATTCTGGTTTTCAGAATCTAAAGGCTTGGATTAGTCTGAAGATTTAACTTGTTTAAAAGGTTATGGCAAATAGTGCATGTATTTCCATGATTTGCACTCCAAACTCCAAATGCAGACCTGTAACTGTCCACCCTCCAAGAAAGTAGAAGGATGAGCAAGTATACAATGTACTTGTTTCTCTTTCTGTTCCCAGGTCTCTTTAGGAAAGTCCTTAATTTTTAATCAGTATTGAATCCACTCATCCATTCATGCATTCACCAAACAATTATTGAATGTGTATTCTGTGCCATGTGCTGTGCCCGGCACTGAGGACACACAGGTGAATAAAACATCGCCCAACTGATGAATGTGTTGGGGAGCCTGGTTCCCTGGGGAAGCCCCCAAAAGTGGGATCAGACAAACTGTGGAAATTAAACACAACATAATGGGTGTTAGTAATGTGAAAGCAGGACATTTTAATGAATTTGCTTTAAAACTAGTAGCTTAGAGAGAAACCCAATTAATTTATTATTTCTAAATTCTAGCAACCATTTTAGCTTTTAATTACGGAAAAATGACTTGTACTACAAGATGTGTTACGTAGCCAGGTCTGCCCTTCCCGTCTCTCTTCACCACCACTCCTCATTTTCCTGGTCCCACAGTGTGCCCGTGCTGGTGCAGACAGGAGGGAAATAAAGTGGACTGTTGAGTAAAGGCAGGCTTGTGGGGGGAGGTGAGGCAGGAACCCAGGAGGCTGGGCGATGCAGGCTCAGCCCCCATCCGCTTAGCTGTGACCCTTTTTCCTAACAGCAGGTGCTTGCTCTGTCTGCCTGGCCCAAGGAAACCATCTTCTTTGAATGAAATTTCTCCCTGTGGACACTGCCTGGGAACCTGAATGTCATCCCTGAGTTTATGTACTGGGCTCCTCTCGGCCACACTTTCCAGCCTTGGTCAGTCACACGTACCCCTTCATGGAGGTGCAGGGGGTGTGAACATTATTCCTGCTTTGTCAGAGCTGGAAGAAAATGAGCTTCTCTGATTTGATAAGTGTGGACCAGCCCACGACACTAAATTTGGTTCTGTCGTCACCGGCGACAGAACCAAATTTAGTGGCCCAGTTTAGAGGCCAGCTTTCGGTTTAAAATACTTTCTCCAGGCTCAGGTTACATGTGACCCATTCACAGGGGCTGGAGGGCACGGCCCCCATGGTCACTGGCACTAGGATATGTCTGTCTGCTGGCACTGGCGTGGAGGGCGGGGCCTGAGAGGAGGCTCTGAGGACGCCCAGGCAGCAAGGCGAGGTCCTGGGCTGAGTGAGGTGCCGTCTGGCTCCCTCCACAGCTGTGACAGCTCTGGGTCTCAGTTTGCTCCTCTGCACAGGAGGATGAGAATCCCTGCCTGTGGGGGAGTGAGGGTAACATGAGACCATGTTTTTAGTAAAAGAAATGCAACTGCTACTACCATTATTATCAGCATCTTCATACAGGAAAACTAATTTGGACCAACAGGGGGTGTGAGTTGATCTGAAGTAGGGCAAAGCAACAATTATAGACTATTTTGAAGGAAATGTGATTTTTATTATTTTCAAGCATATAGAGCAAGAAATAGAACCATGTACTCGTAGGTGGAGGGATTGCTTAATTTAAACAGGTAAAACTCATCTAATATCAGCCTATTTGATTTATTAGCATCCAACTGCATGAATTGAGAGTAGTTATTTTGAGCTTTGTAGGAGCCCAGCTCTGTGACAGGCAAGACACTCGGGAGCAGGAAAGCCATATAAGACACAGCCTTGCCCTCAAAGGACCTAGAGCCAGTGGGGAGTTGAGCTCTGCACTCAAGGCAAGAAAGAAAATAATTAAGCCTTAACCCCTGCGATGCTGATGACT